CACGACTGGCCTGCGGACGATTACTGCAACCGTTTCCTCCATAGTCATGCAATTTAGTCAGCTGGAAAAGAGGGAAAAGAGTACCAAGGAGCTCTGTCTTTGGCAAATGCCTGACATGTCACAAAAGCTGAGGCAGACTCGGAATAGCCTGTCGTCTTCCGAAACTGCACAGCCTAACAATCATGAATTCATAACGAAGCCAGCTGGAGCAATGGGCGCATACTGCTGCTTATTAAACATATGTGCAGCTCACCACGGGATGAAAAGAGCACTTTAAGCAGAGAGATGCAGGATACCCAAATGAACAACATTTAAGTGAATAGACCCGCTGGGTCTTTTGACAAACCCCGTGGAGTGATGCTAGTATTAATAATTGGTAACGCGCTGTCATATGCAGGGGAAATTCCTGTTACCATCAAACTTAGGGCAGCCTCAAACAAGATTACCTAGCAGTTTTATCCTTCAGATGTCTCTAGCTACCTGGCTGTATCCGTTATTCTAATGTTTAAATTTCCATGGTCTAGAGCAGTAAAGCTCGAATACCTGGACTGCAGTGTTAGCTAGTATTAATAATTGGTAACGCGCTGTCATATGCAGGGGAAATTCCTGTTACCATCAAACTTAGGGCAGCCTCAAACAAGATTACCTAGCAGTTTTATCCTTCAGATGTCTCTAGCTACCTGGCTGTATCCGTTATTCTAATGTTTAAATTTCCATGGTCTAGAGCAGTAAAGCTAGAATACCTGGACTGCAGTGTTAGTGGCGTATCGCCTTCAGTCAGTAACGATCTGCTGCTGGGCACAATCGTACCAGGTTCTGAATTTGCCATAAAAAGGAGCTTTTCGCATGTAACTTGCAGTACCTGTATCAAAAAGGTAGCTTTTTGGTTTAGACCCCAACGTAGGGATGTCCAAGGCCGCCCAGGCCCGAGCGACAAGGCGCAGCCGGGGTCCAGCCGCACGGGACTGCATTTCGTCGTCTCGGCAGGCCAGGCAGTCGGTGCTGAATTCGATGCGGCCAGACCTAGACGCGTGCTAGCGAGTTTTGGGGTGTCCTGCTATGTTGTAAACATCAGGGCGAAATAGCCTAACGCAGTGAGGGCTCTCTTCTTCCTCATCGCATGTGGCTGCTACAGTTCCGAGTGAAGGTTTCTTGGGCTGACTGAAAACAAACATTGTCAGAACACAGTGAGATACCCTGATGTTGTTGAGAGGATAAATAAAGGTGGCGTTAATTCTGCCAGGTGGTCTTAAACAGAAAGTGCAAGAGGAATGGAGATACATGGGTTTACAAGCTTGGGATATGATTCTGCGAGGCATTTATAGCTCTCTTTTGCGGTGTATTTGGGGGCAGAAGCCATGCAACCATGTTCATATTACATAGTTTAAAAAGTCAACAACTATCAAATCACATTCATCATTTATAATTAGATTAACGTTAAATAATGTATTTTTCTTCCCCTTTATAGGTTCTTCCTCTCTAAATAGGTTAGTTTGTATCTTGTCTTAAGTCTATTATATGTTTAAAGTGGTGTGATTTTGTTGACTACAAGTCTCCTCGTCTAGTGGAACAAAGAGTGAGAGTTATAGGGCTTCAGATTCCCTGGAACAGGCTGATCCCCCTTCATCAGAAGGACCAGCCTCAAACAAATGAAGCGAAGGAAAAAGGGCCTGTATTTTCCTCATATTTTTCATGAGTCTGTAATCTGTCCTCTCATTCCTTCATAAGAACTCTGATATTTGCCATTAGTCTTCCTCTGTGATGGAGAATTTTGTACTTTTTGATTGCAGAACTTCCTTATGGGTGGGAAAAAATAGAAGACCCTCAATATGGAACATATTACGTTGAGTAAGTGCTGATTATTAATTTGACATGATTATAAATGGAGCATAAAATGATGAAGCTCTTGATACCCAGTCTATATAGGTTGTAATGCAAGGTAAGTGCTAAACATACCCAAGCAGGAGCAGTTCTAGAGGCAGTGGACACGTGGTGCACGCTTCTGAGGCCCTGGCATGTGGAAAGATCTGTGGCGTGGCCTTGCTGGCCTCCTGGAGTGTATTTCTTTTGGGTGGGAAAGCAAGTAGCAACCAAAGTAATTTATGAATGGGAATGAGTTGATATAATTTTTCTTAGCTTTAGCAAAGATAGGATCACTTGATTTAAGAGTGGCACCTGATAACTGTAAAAGAGCAAGAGTAACTTAAATCTCATTGCTGTCTCAAAAGAGCCAGGTAAATAACTACTAAATTGCTGCAACAGCTCTTCC